GTAATTAATTTGATGGCCTGCTCCCAGTTGGCTTGTTAGCTCAATTGGTAGAGCGCTGCACTAGTATCGCAGAGGTCAGTGGTTCGAGTCCCGTACAGGCCTGAAATTTTTTTCAGGTCTGATTTTCACTATTGCTCAAATAGTGCTTTACTGCGAAGGATCGTTCTCATATACGTCTCATAACCGCAGTTCACACATATGTTTCATATGTTTGTTGTTGTTTGATTTATCATCTACGGGTTTATATCGAATTAATTTGATGGCCTGCTCCCAGTTGGCTTGTTAGCTCAATTGGTAGAGCGCTGCACTAGTATCGCAGAGGTCAGTGGTTCGAGTCCCGTACAGGCCTGAAATTTTTTTCAGGTCTGATTTTCACTATTGCTCAAATAGTGCTTTACTGCGAAGGATCGTTCTCATATACGTCTCATAACCGCAGTTCACACATATGTTTCATATGTTTGTTGTTGTTTGATTTATCATCTACGGGTTTATATCGAATTAATTTGATGGCCTGCTCCCAGTTGGCTTGTTAGCTCAATTGGTAGAGCGCTGCACTAGTATCGCAGAGGTCAGTGGTTCGAGTCCCGTACAGGCCTGAAATTTTTTTCAGGTCTGATTTTCACTATTGCTCAAATAGTGCTTTACTGCGAAGGATCGTTCTCATATACGTCTCATAACCGCAGTTCACACATATGTTTCATATGTTTGTTGTTGTTTGATTTATCATCTACGGGTTTATATCGAATTAATTTGATGGCCTGCTCCCAGTTGGCTTGTTAGCTCAATTGGTAGAGCGCTGCACTAGTATCGCAGAGGTCAGTGGTTCGAGTCCCGTACAGGCCTGAAATTTTTTTCAGGTCTGATTTTCACTATTGCTCAAATAGTGCTTTACTGCGAAGGATCGTTCTCATATACGTCTCATAACCGCAGTTCACACATATGTTTCATATGTTTGTTGTTGTTTGATTTATCATCTACGGGTTTATATCGAATTAATTTGATGGCCTGCTCCCAGTTGGCTTGTTAGCTCAATTGGTAGAGCGCTGCACTAGTATCGCAGAGGTCAGTGGTTCGAATCCCGTACAGGCCTGAAATTTTTTTCAGGTCTGATTTTCACTATTGCTCAAATAGTGCTTTACTGCGAAGGATCGTTCTCATATACGTCTCATAACCGCAGTTCACACATATGTTTCATATGTTTGTTGTTGTTTGATTTATCATCTACGGGTTTATATCGAATTAATTTGATGGCCTGCTCCCAGTTGGCTTGTTAGCTCAATTGGTAGAGCGCTGCACTAGTATCGCAGAGGNCCCGAGTCTAATGATTAAACGTCTTGTCACGTGTTTGTTTTCTGATTAATAGAAGCTACAAGGGCTCTTAAAACTGGTTCAAATAAAATATTTTAACTATCAGTGACTGTAACAGTATACTGAGCGTACTTGTTTCCTGTGTTTAAGGGCATTTATTGCCATCTGTGGTTAAAGAGGAAAGATCAGTTCAATAATATTTTTTAAAAACCTTCAAAAAGTTTCCAATAACACAATTCAGTCAACACATCTCAAAACAAGAATCGGAAGTTGCAACTAGTTCAGTTTGAGTTCAGTTCTGACTAAACTCCTTTAAGCTGCACTTAATCGTTCAAAACAATGAAAATGATTTCATCTCTCTTCTTTTCCCCTGGTGAAGAAGATTTTCAATGAAACCTCGCGATGAAAACCACTTCTTTACTCTCTTCAAAGTTAAGGTTTCCTCCAGCCATTTCTCTTCGGTAGCAAACCCTTCAAAGCTCGAAACGTAAGAAAAATGCTCGGCCACACCTTGAATGAACAAGCCACCTTCGCTTGGAGCTAGAGGCCGGTTTGAATTTTCCGCGGGAAGATGCAACAATAGGACAAACTCTACGACGCCCAATTTTCCGTCTTTTCCGAGCTCCATCCGCAGTTTAAGGGCAACGAAGATAATTTCATTTTTTTTCTTCGCCAGGTGAAGAATTTCTTATCTCTCTACTACAACCGCTTCTTTTTCGCATCTCTTTCCCTTATTTCTAAACCTCTTTACATAGGCAAAATTTTACAACCTTTTCTCTTCGGTTGAAAACCCTTGAAAGCTTGACAAATATTGAAAATGCTCGGCCATATCTTGAGTCACTAGCAAGCCAGCCTGGCTTGGAGCTGGCGGCCGGTTTCTAGCGATAAGGCAAACTCACCGACACCTTTATCTCCTTTCTCCCCAAATTCCATCGGCATTTTAGGCGTACAGGTCGATTCGATCAGTTTTTCTGGCCCATTAATCCCCTTAAAATAGTGAGCAGTGATCCACTCACCATTACTGAGCACCTTCCGGAAGTTCAATATTTCCCTACGCGCAGAAATCCGCGTCACATGTTCATTCTGACGATACTCGTAGTCTTTCGTGAAGTTCATAACCAAAAACCTTAACCATCTTTCCCTCGTTTCGAAATGTTTCTTCCCTCTTGGTTTCTTCTTCATCCACTGAATTCTTATACAAATACTCCCATCGTGATTAACCTTCTTTCAGGCAATGTAATCCTCGACCACTCCCATCGTCTATCTAGGATTTATCGGACTTAGGAAATCCCTTACAGGTTTAAACAGTCAGGTTATGTTTACAAGCTCATGATGGCCTGTTTTCCTTTTTAATTGAAAAGTAGCAACGTGACCAGAAAATTTCTTCGAGCGGAATTTGACTTAAAACATTCATTTTCTCTGGCAAAAGTATATTTTCGTGTCTGAGTTTTGTAACCATTTAATTAGAGGCTGTTACGGGTCAAGCTTTTCTTAGAACTAACCTCTCCACAGACATCTGTCAACAATTCTTAGAACCCAGACATTTACATCCAGCATAACCTGCCTTGATTGGTTGCTCTCACTAACGTAAATATTATAATTCATATCAAAAAGCTTCGCATAAGTGACTTTTTTCAACTCGAAATCTCTGCGTCAGTTTGTTGTACTCAATCATGGATATCAAAACTTTGCTTGACAATCTTCATGATGAAGTATCCTGTTCTGTGTGTATGACAACATTTACTGAACCAAAGATTCTGCCATGTTTGCACAGCTTCTGTCTACACTGTTTAAACGGGATCCTACGAACAAGTGGGCGCAATGATGCATTTCTCTGTCCTGAATGCCGAAGAGAAGTCCAAGTCCCCAGCAGTGGAAACCTCAAGGATCTTCCGACAAACTTTCGTATCAACAGTTTGCTAGATGTGCTGGCCATCAAAGAATGCCATACTACTGGAGTGAAATGTGGAAACTGCGACAAAAGTAGCAGACACAGTTCTTACTGTTTTCAGTG